TGTAAAAGTTTGGGGTTCGATAAAGTGGGATTAACCTCCCTCTAGGATCTATAAACCTGACTGTAATCCACTTTGCCCTGCAGGACAGTGCTTTTCTCTTTTGTTTTTATCTATAGGAGGTCTTCAGATGACCTCAGAGAGGCTGCCTGCTCTCATTTAGCCTTCCTTTCTTCTGTACATGTGTACGTCTCCATGGCTCACTCCTGGCCGAGACAAATGAGGCACTCACTTATTTTCTAGGCTGGTAATTTGTATTATCTCAGGTAATCTTCAAATGAAACTACAGTGTTCAAACAACTTAGCTAAAATATGTATAAAAGAGAAACGATCTGTCCCATGAGAGCTGAGTATATTTGATCTGTGGTAGCTAAAGCTGTAAAGTATATTGTACATGCCATCATCATCTTCGTAAGTGGGAGTAAAACAGTCAGATTGCAGAAGTGGTTTCCATTTGATTGTGCCACTCTCTTGCTCAGAATTGCTTTAACATTCTTTGGAGCTGACATAAGCACCTCTGGAAAGGCAAACCCCTGGGGAATATCTGAACTAAATTGCATCAGACATTTGGGGGCGGTGGGACAGTGGAAGAAAAATTCAGTTTCCTGATCACAGTTGGCTAAAATGAGAGACTTTACTATCGGTTATGATGTCCATGATAAAGAGACTTAATCACTAAAATTATGGCAGAATATTTTTGCATCATTTCCTGGTAGGGAGGCTTAAACGTTTTCTTGGAAGATGCACTATACAGCAGAATGTTCTTTGGTATATGTGTATATATATGTTATTAACATATACTGATATGTATTATATCCTTGAATGTGCTAAGTCGCTTCATTTGTGTCTGACTCTCTGTGACCCTATAGACTGTATCATGCCAGACTCCTCTGTCCATGGGATTCTCCAGGCAGGAATACTGGAGTGGGTTGCCATTTCCTCCTCCAGGGGATCTTCTCAATCCAGGGATTGAACCAGCATCTTTTACATCTCCTGCATTGGCACCAGAGCCCTTTACTGCTTGTGCCACCTGGGAATTAATATCTATTATATATGATAATATAAAATATATGTTTTATATATATATATTTAAAAACAGATTTCATTTTCCAAGAATGCTTATCAAAACAGGGTATCTCTAAAGTAGTTGAAAACCTAGAGTTGAATTCCTTTGTACCAGCTACTGGGTGCCAATAATTTCTTAGGATACAGTTTATTATGTTTGTGGGATATCGAATGTTAATAAAATGAATATGATTTTATCTCTGTTGATCAGCTGTGGAGGATTTTAAAAAATAATTGGGGCCCATGACTCTTCCTCCACCGTCAGCACCACCCCATCTTCATTTTTCTAGATGCTATCACTTGTCACTTTCTTGCTGTGATCTGTACGCCAACTTTTGATGTTTTTTTTTCCTTTTACTATGACTGTATGCTCCCCTGCAATGTTTCATGATTTTGGACATGAGTCAGCAGGCTCAAATTTGAGACTCTTTAAATTTAAATCTTTACAGGATCTTCTGGGTTGTAACAGTCCCTAAAGATTTGGGTGATTTTCATTTTTGAAGTGGTATGAAATGGAATCAGGTCTTCCTCATATGGTGAGAATTTGGAAGGAGTCTTTTCTCTTCCCTGTCCAGCAGAGGTCTGACTTAATTACCCTGTGCATGGTAGCCCATAAAATACACAGGTATGGTAACACTTCCATCCTTCACTCTTCAGCCTGTAGAATGCACTGTTAGGAGTTATTGAATTTAATAAATGACTATATCCAGGTATGCATCTTTCTATTCAGATGGTCTGTTTTAAAAATTAACTGATGCTGAGATCCTTCCAAGTCATTTTTAAAGGCTTTATCACTAGATGGTAAAATTACCAGTTAAGAGGCCAACTCAAATGGATATGGCTTTCCTGGCAAGTGCGATTGAGTCCATCCACCATGCCTTCCACCACAGTCTGAGTTTTAACAGGTCGCGTCTTTGTTGGGTCAGAAGGAAGGTCAGCAGCAAGGACTCCTGAGGCCCTAGACTTTTCTGCTCTGCGGACCAAACTCTGGGGGCCACGAAGCAGGAATGCATTTGGTTACAGGGCAGTACTGGGGTGATGTTGGGGCTGTCACACTGCTTCTCATGTTGAGATTTGTCACTGTGAGAAAACAGGTGCTGAGTGTTGTCAATAACACAGCAAGTCCTGGGTCTGTTTAACCTAAAGGATAACATAAAATATATGTTACATTTACAAAATTCAGATAGAAAATAAGATAAAGGAAAAGCTAGGCTGGTGCCCCTGGTCTTGGGCCCTGGAGAAATGACCATCCAGCTGTCCTTTGTCTCTTGGGCATACTGACTCTTAGGTGAGGCTCCGGGATGAGATGAAGCCCTAGAAGGGCATTCTTTTCAACTTTTCCATGTGGATTTAGATGTTCTTTCACCAGCGTTCCCCTAGCAGAAGAGGGGATGGATCAGCACAGCCCCAGGACTTGGATGGGTCATGTCTGCAGACCTGGCTGGTACAGAGTGGAAGGCTGATCCATGAGCTCTGGCCTTGTATGTCTGGACCTCCCTATGGCCATGCCTGCTAGGGACTCCCCTCCCCTGTACTCATCGACCATCCCCCAAGTGGGCTCTGGTGCCTGTCTCTCAGCTGGAGCCAAAGAGGTCACACCCAAGGTTGTCTGCACTTCTGGTCATTGGGGTCTGCTTTGGCCATCTGCTTTCCTAAGGCAGGGTGAAAGCAATCAGATGCAGGGAGTTGTTCTCCTTTCCCACTTGGTCTGGCTGGGCGAGAGGCTGATAGACTCGTTCTGCATAATGAGTTTTGACTCAAGGTGTACTTTCACATTTGGGCAGCAATTAGGCAGTATTATTACATCTGTGATGAGTTTTAAATATTCTCATGCAGATAGCCACTTGTAGAAGTTTCATCTTGAAGTCTCTGACTTTCCCCAAGAAACATGTAAAAATGGCATTTATAGTTAGCTTGGAAAAGTGACAAGGTCCAGTAGAATGTTTCACATTCCATCCAAGTTATAACGTATGTTGAAATCGTTAGGGAATATTCAGTTTCTGAGACTGGCTCAAACCTTACTTGGACATCAAAGAGAATGTGACATGTGAAGTTAAAGCAGAAGAGCTTGTCTTTGGCTCCAGTCCTTCTCTGTCAGACTCACAGCCTAAGCTTCCAAGGACTTCCATGTATTAAAGCAGCATGTTCAAGTAGAAAATAGTTCATGTGATTTCAGACTGTGATTAGGTGATGCCATCCTTATCAGAGGGCACTTATGGACCACAGCTGGAAGGATGGAGATTTTGTTATTTTTTCTGCAGTAGTGAGGATGAGTTCATCTTAGGTTATTTCTTCTCTTGCCCTTGTCAACAGCAGAATGTCTGAGTCACTTGCTTATGTTCACTTGCTAAGAGTAGATTGGCCATCCAACCTGAGAAATCAGGCAGTAAATTTCCCACTGATCATCCAGCCCTCAACTTAGAACCGTTAACTCTGGCTGCCAAGTTTCAAACCACATAATTCAAAAGATGAGGATTGTATTTAAAATAATAAATGGAGAGAGATGTGACAGAGGGATTCTTTTAAACTTTCTCAGTGCTATTTCATGGTGTAGACCTCAGAGATTTCCTAACCAGCTGGGTTGAGAAGGCCAGATATGGCATAAAATTAAAACCAGAGCAAATTGGACCAATTCCTTGGAGTTAAACTTGATTTAATGCCAAATCCCCAGGATCCAGAGGAACCTGTTCATGTTTATTCATGCCCTGGAAAACAGAATCACCACCCAAGAAGCAATGTTCTGATTTTACTCTAAATCCAGTTTCCTAAAACCTACTTAAGGGCTTAGGTGAACTCAACAAGGATCTAATAAAGCCAGGTAATTGAATGACACAGAGACCAATAAAATTCAAAGGAGATGGTGTGGGAAATAAATGGTCGCAGGAGAGAGCATGGACCATAGTTGAAACTAATTGTGTACTTTGGTGTAAATGAACTTTTCTAGAAGAGAAATCCAGGCCTCATTTTGGACAGCTTTCTGGAACTGCAGCATGCAGAGTGCCTGCCAAAAACACGTCCCACAAATTGTTTGAGTATACTCAGGAGGAAATTAACTGCATGGGGGCACATGCCCTATGGTGTGGGGATGTTGTCCACGGGCAGGGCCCCTGTATACTGCAGACAGTGGAGTTGAGCTGACAGAGGGAGTGTGCTCATTTGCAGTGGAGTGGGTGAGGGCTGACAGAGAAGAGAAACTGTGGATAGTGAAGGTTTGGAGGGGAAGGGTTATTAGGAGTGAGAAAGAGGTTAACAGAATGATGGAGCTGTGAGTGACCTAGACCCTTGCAATTTCAACGTGATCAACTGTCTAGCCTTGGAGCATAAATTGAGGCAAGCTACATGCAAGAAAGACACGGTTATGAATCAACCAGATTGGCCAGGCTTTGCTTTTTTATCTTTACACAACCAGAACAAATGGTATTAAGGTGAATATATGCCAGTGGTTAATTCTCACATTTGAATGACCCTCTGTTTTTAGTCTCGAGAAGTGCTAGAAAACTGGAACTGTGCACCAAAGTTACATGTCTCCATGTAGGAGAAATGTTGACAGTTGAATTATCAGTGGTTACAAACACAGAGGCTTAATCCCAAGTGAGAACAGCTAGGCATCACCTGCGGCATAATTGATAGCAAATACATCTTGCACTTAGAAGGTGTCTCAGTTTATCTGTCAAACCAGGAAGAGCAGTGCTGTTTCCATACTAGGCTGAAATGTATTAACTCTTCATAGTGTATAATCCATACAGTTTGAAAGACAAGAATTTGAAAAGTCAGTTGATACTTTTGATTGCACGTGAATGCCTTAGAAAAATTTCTGAACCCTTAGCATTTTCCTTTGTGTTTTGGGAGGTGGAGGGGGGAAAGGCAGGTTTTTATGCAGTTATATGAGAAACTTCCTGAAGCCTGACTTTTGTTTTCTATTTTTTTTCCTTATATAGGATGATTATTTCAGAAACTGGAATCCCAACAAGCCTTTTGACCAAGGTAAAGGATGCACTATTTCTTGCTGTGTATTTTGTGGAAAAATGCCATCTCATTTTTCCTTCTTTGCCTGCTGACTACCTCTTCCCACAAAGGCCAGCTAGCTGTCTTATTTTACCAACTTTGGGGGACTAAATAGATTGGGGTGATAGAAATTATTTTATCAAGTTGGTTATTTGTCTGAGATTGTCTAAGATTTAAATAGTGTTTTTATTGAATTGACCACTATAATCATTGACTGGTTTTGTTAGAAAACAAACACACAAAGAAACAAAATAGTAAAATGCTTATCAGACTAACCTGGTGGATTGTTGGGCTGAATCCAGTGATTTCATTCATGGAACTGACTGTGCCTAGAGACGCTGTCCAACTTACATGAACCACAAAAATGAAACTTTCGTGTCTAGAAATAGGCCAATCCCAGGAGGCTTTCAAGGGCATTGGTATTTCATTTGTTTAAATAACTTCTTCATGGTTTCTAAATAGAAGCTTGTTTCACAGGCAGTTCACTGACCGCTTGGGTTTTAGCCTTCAGAGGGCTCTTTCCACTCATCCTACAAGCACAAAGCCAGGCTCTTGAGGGCCATTATAAATCACCACCTCTGTGCTCCTGGGAGTTATTTAAGATGCAGCAAAGGCCTGCTGTGAATCACATCCCTGTTCCTATTGTTCCATTTGTGGCTGCCCTCAGCACAGACCTTGCTGCTGAAATGGTGTTAAGTACGTATATGCAATTAATGCTGCAACTCAGAGGGAACATGTTACCTACCAGGTCTCAAAGATTCACACTTCTGAGAATCAGCTTCATTTCTGTAGCTTGAGTGTTTGATGTGATCCCAGTTGTCACCTTGACACAAAGACGTCAAGGAAGGCATTGATGTGTAACAGGATAGAAGGTGCCCTTTTCTGCCCTCTCCTTTGTCACTTTAATAGGTCACTCCATCTGGACTTTAGTTGTCTTGTAAGCAAAACTGGCATTAAAATGTCCACAGAGACATTTAGTGTATTATGCCCTCAAGTAGTGCAACACTTCGTTCATTCATACATACATGCATGCATTCATTCATTCTCAAATGTTCATTGACCTAGCAGTGTGTGCACAAGCACAAAGCCAGGTCTTGGGGATAATACAGAAAATTTATGGTCACCCCCTCCACTCCAGGAGGAGCTCAGAGTAAGGAGGCGGGGGAATAGCTCAGTCAGCAATTGCAGTGGGATATGTTAAAGGCTGTGATGCAGGTGTGTGCAGGTGAGTCTATAGGTGGGAGATTTAGTGGGCATGCACATGTGTGTTGTGGACAGGTACCAGGGAAGGCTTTCTCTGGAGGCCCTGTCTGGGCTGCACCATCTCAGTGGACTTCAAGGGCCTCGCACTTCAAGAGTTTAAAAAATTAAGCAAAAATTTTTAATTGAAGTATATTTGACTTACAATATCATGTTAGTTTCAGCTATACAGCAAAGTGGTTAAATTATACTTAAATATGAATATTTTTTCTGTTTTTTTTCCCCATTATAGGTTGTTATAAGGTTTGAATATAGTCCCCTGTGCTATACAGTAAATCCTTGTTGTTTATCTGTTTTACATACAGTGACTTGTATCTGTTAATGCCATATTCCTAATTTATCTGTCCTCCATCCTTTCCCCTTTGGTAATCATGTCTGTTTTCCATAACTGTGAGTCTGTTTCTGTTTTGTAAATACGTTCATTTGTATTATTGTTTAGATCCAAATATAAGTGGTATTGTATAATCTTTTTTTTTCAGTATGATAATCTCTAGGTCCATCCATGTTGCTGCAGATGGTGTTATTTCCTTCTTTTTTATGGCTGAGTAGTATTCCACTGTGTATGCTTACCTATCTTCTTCATTCGTCTATCTATGGACACTGAGGTTGCTTCCATGTCTTCGCTATTGTAAATAGTGCTGCTATGAACATTGGGGTGCATGTATATTTTTAAATGAGTTTCATTTTTTTTCCAGATTTATGCCCAGAAGTGAGATTGCTGAATCGTAGGACAGCTATATTTTTAGTTTTTTGAGGGAATTCCATACTGTTCTCCATAGTGGCTGTACCAATTTACATTTTTACATTCCTGCCAACAGTGTAGGAGAGTTCCCTTTTCTCCACACCCTCTCCAGCATTTGCTGGTCATAGACTTTTGATGATGGCCATTCTGACTGGTGTGAGGCAGTACCTCATTGTGCTTTTGATTTGCATTTCTCTGATAATCATCTGTGATGAGCATCACATTCCTCTTGTGTATGTGTGTTTGTCACTCAGTCATGTCTAACCGTTTGTGAATTTATGTACTGTAGCCCATACATTCCTCTTGGTCTTCTTGAAGTCTTTGGAGAATTAACAACTTTTATAGTGACTGAATCATCACAATAAAGCATCAGAAGGTATTTGTAATTTAGATGTTTTCCGTCAAAAATGGTCAAAATTTCTTAAAAGGCTACACTTTCATGTTGGAAGAACACTCAGATATCAAGCAACCTGTTCCCTGTGTAGACCTGGTAAATGAGCCTTTCAGCAAACATTCATACTAGGATTTTGCTTATGGAGCTACACAAATGATGGAGACCGGAAACTGATGCTTTCCAGCCAGAAAAAGACTTACGTTCTAGTTCTCTAAGGATCAAATGTTAATAAATATCAGATTTACTCTCCCTCAAGGCCTGGAAACAGATAGTAAAACTTTACCAAGGAAGGAAAAGGCATTTTAATTTTACTAGTACACATTGGGATAGGTTATACACATATTTACATATATTTGCCACCTGCTATATGTAAATGGTATGTCTACATATATGATACAAGTGGTAGCTTCCTTTGAAGATACGATTTAAATCTGCTTAATCAAAAAGCCCAGACAGGGATTTTTCTCTCTAAAGAACTTTGGCTGCTCTGTGCAGCATCCTTCTGCCCTTGCTCCCTCTTTTTCCAGCTCTGCAGGTTTGAAAACTGGGTCTGCTGAGATAAATCCTCACAGAAAACCTCATGACTTTCTGGGTATTATTGAGGACCTTTGCTGAGAAGCCCCACATTGTAGCTCAGGTGTAGCTGCTATTGGCTATTTTGATCCTGAGCTGGGGTGGAGTGGGGTTGGATGGGCGGTGGGCGGTGGCAGGACTGAGAATAGCCTTCACTTAAAGTATCAGCCCCAGCAGATGTCATCAATTACACTGGGCGCCGCTCAATAAAAATGGGCGGTTACTATATCAGTGCTGACACGGGCTGGCAAAATATAAACCGTAGGCATGGAAGGGGTCGAACACTTCATCTTCCGGAAAATAGGAGGACTGCCGAACTCCAGTGGAGATCATCAGCTGCAGAGAAAAGTCTTTTCCCTCCTACAGCAAAAGAGAATCCAACGTGGTTCAGGCAGTTTTGTGGTTGGGAGGACTTCCGGTTCATGGGAATGGAATTGCTGGAAGGCATTTCAGAGGGCCTGATGACAAGGATCCTGTGGGATGGAGGTAGAAGAGCCTTCACTGTGGAGGTGGGTGTGGGTTGGGCTTGAAATGCAGGCAGAGAAAAGAGGAAGGAAGACCGTGCATAGGAGATTCTGGTAGGGTATAGCCAGATGGGTAGACTCAAGACAGATTGTAAAGGACTTTTCATACTAATGCTCTCCCTGCTCTCCCTGATGATTTCAGACTTTGTTTTCTTGGCAGTGGGGAGCCATAGAAAGTTTTGGAGTAGAGGAGTAATAGCACGAGTGCTGTACTTTAGAGCAGGGGTCCCCAGTCTCCGGGCCGTGGTCCAGTACCTCCTGTCAGGTAAGTGGCAGCAGTAGATTAGAAATGAAGTGCAGAATAAACATAATGTGCTTGTGGCTGTTGCTGTTCAGTCGTTCAGTCGTGTCCAACTCTGCAACCCCATGAACTGTAGCATGCCAGACTCCCCTGTTCTTCAGCAGCTCCTTAAGTTTGCTCTTGATGTGCTTGAATCATCCCCAAACCATCCCCCACCCTGGTCCGTGGAAAAATAGTCTTCCAGGAAACCTGTCCTTGGTGCCAAAAGTGTCGGCGACCACTGTTTTAGAGACTGTATGTAGTTGGGTGGCTCAACAGCAGTGATGTGGAACCTAAGACCCACCTCTAAGTGATATCCCTCACACAGGACTCTCGGTAACTTCTCCATTGTCTTGGATCCCTAGACTTTGGTCATAGGTGGTCAGACTTAACCATTCAACTCTGTAGGTTGACCTCGGAGAGACCGTGTAGCTCCCATCTCAAGTATTGTTGTGAATAGTGAGGACACAGATGATGCTCAAGAAATAGTTAATCTCCCTGTAGTTGCTCTCCCTGCTGATGAATATTTACTGAACTTTGAACAGCGGGGATTCATAGAGCAGGCTCTTACCGTATAACTCCAAGGCAGTTAGAAGAAAAGTGCCTCGCCTGGAGGTCTTCTGCAAGACTGACTACATCTTCCACGTGTTATCTTTAAGGGAATCAGTAATGCTTCCATCAGGGGAGTATAATAGCCATCACCTTCAGGCTTTTCTGAGAATTCTTTCTGAGATTTGGGTAAAGTAGTCTATCCTTTTTTGATTGCTAACAACTTAATGCCAAATCTCCTCACAGAAGGGCCAGACAGGAGTTCAGAATTGAAGGCAACGATTATTAACTCAGGTGAGAAATTTCCCTTGTGAAGTCCACAAAGACAGAGGCCCTGCCGGGAGGTGGGCGGGGGCAGCTGGCAGAGGCAAATGGCCTCCTGTCTTCTGTGGGTAGGAGGAGTGGAGGCCCTTGGGTGGACCTCCTCAGGAGGCTGGCCGAGCCTGGAGGGCTCTGGGGTGGTGATTCCAGAGTTCGGGGTGGCCTCTGCCGCTGTTGCCTTTTGGCATGTTCCCTCCACTGGCCCCCAGCAAACCTGCACGCACACAGTGGGTGTGGAGCAGACGTGTGGTTTATGCTTCTGAAAGTGACATCTGGTCCAGCAAGATGGCTTCCCCATGAAAACAGTCCCTGTGCCAATCCGTTGGGGACACACAT